CATTGTAAAGTGATCTAGAAACTTTCTTTTCTTATATTTTTTTTTCTAATAGGATTAGGAATCATAACAATATCCTTTTTCCTTCTTTCTTTCATATGAGCTAGAGCTAATGCAGATAACACACTTTTATAGGTATCCTCTAGATCTTGAGTAGCTCCATAATCTATTAATGTATTGATCAATTTACATTGGTAGAAAAGTTCATAAAGTATCCTTGCATAAGGTACTATTCTTTTGAGCTTCTTAGTTGAATCCTTGATGGATTCACACAAATGATGGAATATGTAACCTGGAAGATTTAATCTTTGATCAGTTGATAGATACCAAAGAAACATCTTGTGATCCCAAGAAATTTGACCAAAACTTCCTTCCCGAGGAATCAAACAACCAATTAGAATCTTGAACATAAGCTTTTGCATGAGATGCATGTTCTTCACCTTTCCATAATTATCTTTCTTTTTAAACAAAGTCTCTTTAATTTCCCTAGCGTAGTCACCTCCATCCTTCTTGTTGAGTATCACTATTCCTCTACTTTCAACCCTAATTAGCCGAGCAATGTTTTCTTGAGTGATGGCAATTTCTAGACCCATCACAGTAGATCTAATTTCCACACCCTTAAATTCCTTCAAACCCATTTCTATTCTTGATTTCCCTTTTAGACTTAGGTTATTTTCTATAACATTCCTCTCTTAATTTTATGCCGAGTACTCATCATACACTTCTGCCCTTACCCATAAATATTTTATTAGAGTTGGGAAAGTTGGTTCATTTATCAAATAAGTTCATCCATCCTTGGAATTTAAAGTAATCTTTTAACGAACAACCATTTGCTTCAAAGCTGTTAAAATCCACTACTTGCTCAATGATAAGCTTTAAATCATCTTGATCGAGTGGAACAATCTTTGGTTTGATCTTAAGAGTTTTCATGGAATCCATTTTTAGAAGATTGGTTAAAGAGGTTGCCATCTCAGAGGTTTTGGGGTTTTCTAGGGTTTACAGTTAGAGCACAAAAATAAACGGTGATAAGGGTTGTGTGTGTTAAAAATATGTTGAGAGAATTAAATGACATTAAAGAGAATTTAAACACACAAATATTTAAAACAAATTCAACTCCCTTCAAATTCAAGTCACCAACAATCTCAAGAATGCTGAAGACATTTCAGACAAGTGTAAAAAGTGATACAGGTGTCAAAATGAATTTTCACTCTTTGTGCATGTGAGAAACAATAAATTCTTTATGCAAGTTTCTGAAACAGAGATTTATATTATATCAAAAGTTTTGCTACCAAAGACTTTGATTAATAAAATTTCTGACAGATATCAGATTCAAATTCTTCATTTGGAATTAAGCATAAATTACTATGTTCAGAATTCTTTTTCAACTGATAACTCTTAGGAGAGTTACTAGTTGTATGAGTTCAGTGAAGAACAAAGAATATATTAGTTGTTCGAACAATAGTAAGAGAGCTTTCTTCAAAAGTATTTAAAAAGAATTCTTTATTTCAACATGACATATATATTGTCACAAACGGTGATAATACCTAATTAACCAGTCTGAAAGTTCTTAAGCTAATTTCTTACAAGATATCTGAGCATGAAGAATATACATGCTGAAATATCTTGTACAGAAAGTTACACTTGAATAAAATTAATTAACATAACTTACTTGGATATAATTTTTGATTCTGGATCTTCAGTCTGTTTTGATGATGTATTTCTGACTTGTTCAACAGCCAACATATTGAACTATCTTCTTCACATGGATAACACCATTGAGAGAGAGACTAGTTTCTTTTAATAGATTCCTTCATCTTTTTGCCACCCTTCTTTTCATACTAATATGAAAAACATACTTTCCCACAAATTCTTTGTCTGCACCACTGTAAAGTGTTATGCACATACCAGGCTCTAATGCCAATTGAAGGTGGGAAAATACACAAGAAGTGGGGGGGGGGGGGGGGGGGGGTTGAATTGTGTTCACTAAAAACATTACTGCTTCTGAACGGAATTCAGACTCTAAATATTGGTTCAAAATTTGATCATAAATGCAGTAGAGTAATATAGCAGAAGTAAAATAAACAGAACCATGAACACAATAGATTTATCCTAGTTCCTTTCCAACCGAGAGTACTCCAGTCTCCATGCCTCACAAGAGATTTTCCACTATAATCAAATCATGATTACAACTACTTATGCACTTGAGCATAAGACTTTTACTGCTCAGATTTACCGTCTAAGACTCCTTGCTCAATCAACACTTGATCAAGACTTCTCTGCTTAGATCCTCAGATTCTAAGACTTCCCTTTCTTAAATCCACCTGGTTCAAAACTTCCTTGCTTCGACACTCTGTCTAAGAATTTCCTTGCTTAAACCCACTTGGTTTAAGACTTCTGCTTAGACGTACCGTCTAAGGCTTCTTTTCTTAGATTCTCAATCCAAGACTTCACTGCTTAATCAAAACAGATCAAGACTTTCAATGATCAAGAATATAACAAGAGACTTACTTGGATCAAGCTTTTCAACTGGAGACTATGATGCTCAAGCACATAACGAGAGACTTTAATCTAAACTACTGAACAACATGTTCAGTAGAATAGAGAACAAGGTGTACTTGATACAAAATCAGAGGTACATGGTAATCATCTTAACAAAGACCTTAAGCACTTAAGATTTCTAGGATATTCAATGTTAAGGAAACCTTAAAGTTGTTTACAATTTACAATAATTAACAGGAGATTCTGCATATTCAGTAGTGTTGCTCATTATTTATCTTGTTATTTCTTCATTCAGATAAAGGCTTTGAGCACCTCTATCCTCTTTGGCATTCCTTCTCCTTCTTATTCCTCGTTAAAGATTTAAATTGAACCTTCAACGACTTATATAGCAGTTTGTAGAAGAATAGTCGTTGAAAGAGATAACTTAATCAAATGTCTTTGCTTTACTCCATAGTACAAGAGCCGTTGAAGATAGATACATCAAAAGATCTTGATCCATTGTGTAACATGTTTAACCATTGCGTCTTCAAAGAGATCCTGTACTATAGATACACAAAAAGATCTTGATCCATTATGTAAAGCATGTCAACTCTTCTTGAGCCTTGTGAACTTTAGAGTTTAGCTGACAAACTGATTTGACATTACAACTTGCTTTCTGCAGTACAGACAACTTCAGCTTTGCTAGTACTTCTGAACAATTACCAAACGCCAATACAATCGCCAAGTGTCGAGACAATATGTTGCTTCTTCTGATGCTGAGGCCTTAAGCTTCAGAGTCTACGCCAGACATCACTTAGCAAATGTTCTTTAGATTCTGTATCATCAGAAGCACGTAACTCAACTTCTCTCAAGTGTGCCTTCATATCAGATTTTGAATATATCTTTATGTATAAGAACCTGGATGCTTGAACACACATTAGATAACACCATTGTTCTTTTAATACTTTGTTACCATCAAAACCCAAGGAATATATGTCATGAACAAATCTTGTTCTAACATAGCTTTCATGTGGTAGAAAATGAGGATTATTGGTCTGCATGTCAAGGCGAGATAGTTTGGCACAATGAAAATTTGTGAAGAAAGAAAAATGATCGTCCTAACAACATGCGTATTTGAACCGAAATGGATACAACGAACAAAATGGTGAGATTATGTAGTTCATGTCGTCAGCCCAGACACAATCGCACAAACTGTCCCAAATGTTGGAGCAAGCAACACAACATAATTTTATATGTAACAATTTTATTTGATATTGAAAACAACATTCATTTTATAAATATCACAACATTCAGTTACAACCACTAAAAGAACAACTAAACAATAACTTAAACAACAACTAAACAAGACAAACAAATACAATAACGAAACAACATATATATGCGATTACAACCATCAGGACAATTTCCTCACAACGATGCATCATGATACGACAATCTCTGTCAATTTTAACTGAGTCTCAGAAATGACTTTCTCCATTGTCGTTAAACACCATAACAAGCCTTTGAATCCTTTTGATTTTTTCACTGTCTGCAATGTCTCCATCTAACCAACATATCAAACTCCTCAGAAGATGCTCAAACGTCTCCATGTTCCAGAGACGGATCTTCATCAGAGGCTTTATTGCCAAATAAATCATATTGACATTTCTCTTGTGATTACAAGACGACATATATGACGACATTTTAAAGAATAATTGAAGAAGAGACTTAGAAGATGGGTGAAAAATGATGGGGAGGGGATGTAATATATATAGAAAACCCTAAACAATGCAATAGCCACTGCTTGTGGTGCATGCTCCTAGAGGATGCATGCATGTGCCACATGCAGTGGCATGTACTCTAAGCATGCACCACTATGCATGGCGCCTATTTACAACAGCTGCATGCATGCGCCATTTATAGTGGCTACTCTTCTTGCCAACTATTTTTTTTTTGAAATATAATCAATTTCGTATTTTTTTTTAAATTATGATTATTTTGAAAATATAGTTGAAAAATATGATTATTTAAAAAAAAATTCCTTCTGGAATAATTTATATAAAATTATCCGAAATGTTATTTTATTATTATTTTTTTCTAAACATAAATTATTTATTTAAGGGTATTTTAGTTATGTTGAATAAAGAGTAAGAGCAGTGGGTAATCGTTGGGGAATGGAGTCAAATTTTCTGAAAATAAAAAGAAATAACGTAAAACAAACAGGCCCATTATTATCTAATGATTTCATTTATCCATCACATATATTCACATAATTATAACACAACTTAAAAACCAATGAAATCATCATGTGAGATGCAATTGAATAAACACTTCTGAAATTAAAAACTCCTGGGTCATACTGAACAAAGGGCAAAAGAGTACTGATACATTATTTGAATTTATTCTTCCTTCCAACTCTGCTAGCAAAAGAGTACTAGATATATAAATCGATATCATAGAAATGAAAGCAAATTAACCAATGAATATAAGCGTCTGATTTCAAATTAAAATCATATGCATGATGATCAAATGGACTTGGGAAGCTGGGGTGCTTGATTCACCTCTTGTGACATTGATGGTGATGATGATGCATCAACATCATCAGATTCATCGGCCGCGCGCCGCGTATTCTTCGGCCGGCCTAGTTTCTTCTCCTTGACAGACAAATCTATAACCCGCACTGTTCCATTGGAAGTTTCAACAGCATCAACAGGAAGAGGGTCAACAATGGCTGGGTTGTTATTAGATTCATCAACGACCAATTTGGATGAATCTATGTTAACCATGACATGGTTGTCATTAGATTCATCAACAACAAATTCGGACGAATCTATGTTGTTACCATCACTAATGTTTTGTCTCACATGTGGTGTAAGAACATTCAAAGGTAACTGTGGCTTAAGAGGATTGAAAAAATAGGTAGATAAATCCTCACACACGGGTGCCCTAGCACTCTCAAACATGTCATCCCATTCAGTGGTGTAACAATTTGGATATGCAGAAAGGGCCTCTGTTACATAAAGGTATTCATAATCATCAACATTGTCCACCATTGGTGCTGGTGGTGCAATGTTTTCAGATGAATCTTTGTTCAACATTTTTTTATTCAACTAGTTTGTGTTCTCTGAATGAGTTGAAATGAGTGTGCATTTGTATTATGTAATACTAGTACTTTTATATATCTCTTGAGTCACTTTACAAAATTATATTTCTTTTTAATTAATTATTGAGTGTTTGGTCATTTTCATAATTGACTAGTATTAAAGAAATTAAGAAAAGTATAATAATATATTCTTTTTAATACATTACTTTGACATCTTAATTAATTAATATAGATAATACTAAATAAAAATTAAAAGATATTGACATATTTCAAACAAAAACAATAATATTTATACTTTTTCTAAATTTAAAATCTTAATATATATATATATACATATATATATATATATATATATATATATATATATATATATATATATATATATATATATATATATATATATATATATATATATATATATATATATATATATATATATATATATATATATATATATATATATATATATATATATATATATATATATATATATATATATATATATATATATTCGAAATGACTTTTATTTCAGATTTACTATTCATTCACACCTTTACTTTTCACTCAATCAAATAATTAATTTTTTAAATATATATAACTATATATAAGGGGATAAAAAAATTTGGGATAATTAGCTTTCTTTCAATAAAACCCATCCAAATAAAATTTATACGTTCAAATAAAATTTATACGTTAAAATTCATACATTCAAATAATTTACAAAAAAACACATCCAAATATATTCAAATACTATTAAAATGTTTGAATATATTTGATTTACCATATAATATAGAGAAATACATATTTTATTCATTTTAATATATTAATATAATTTTTTTTTTAAATGAATGTTCAAACAAAATTCATACATACTAAAATCAAATTTAAATATTATTAAAAATTTTAATAATAAATTAAAATACATTCTTAATATGTAAAAGTAAAATCTAAACACAATTTATTATTAATATGTTAAAAAGTATGTAATACATATTTAATATGTGAACAATGTGAATAATATGAACAAAATGAACATTAACCCAGTAGTTAAGACTCATGCTGCCTGAGCTTAGGGAACAACTGGTGTTTAAATTTTTGTTTGGGTTAATTTTTTTAGTATTTTTGAAATTTTTATAATTTTTTTAATTTAAAATAATTAAAAAAGATAATAAAATCACACATTGAATTAATATAAAATAAAATAAAAAATACAACATAAATTTTAAAAATAAAAAAACTAGATGGACAACCATGTAGGATTAACAAAAGTTCTAAATTAAAATAATCAATCAAAGATCTAAACACACATAATTTAAATATTATAAGGGAGAGTAAAAAAAATCCTACAGTGATGCTAATATTACAGGAATAACATATATTTAATAGTATATTTAAACAATCATATAAATTATTTTGAATATATGATTCTATTTTAGGTATTATTATTGTCTGTTGATCATATTTTAAATTTACATATTTAAAAAAAATTATAATATTAATTATATATTTTTTAAGTATATGTATTAATAAAATCCTTAAAAAAGAATTACTTTTTATTTGAAAAATTAGACCAAATTAAAAGTATTAGCTTTAGTTTCTAGGTTCATGAACAATTAATAAATTTTACAAAACAAATTATTAATAAATAATATGTCTTAACACCAAAAATCTGAATTGAATCATGTATTACAACTATTTAAAAAAAAAGGCGAGAGAAAAATTATTATTAAAAACAATAATATTAATAAAAATTTTGCAACCTATATTTTATATGAGATATGAATTTTTTTTTTCTTAAGATTACAAACACAATCTTATGAGTGAGAAGACACCTCATGGACTTGAAGTCGGTTAAAAAAGTTATTCAAACAAAATAATTGATTTATCGAAATATAATTGTTTTTTTTTAATATGACAATTTAAGAAATGAATAAAGGATTTATTTGTCAATAAAAATTACATTAAAGTGAATAAATCCTTTCATTTTATAGTAATTACACAATCTCTTATTACGGAATCCTTATCATTTTAGGATAATGTTAACTTGTGTTCTTGGGCATTAAATTAAGAAACATTGTTTTGGAAATTGTGTATAAACTTTAATTAAAGTATAAAATTAATTTTTAAATCGTTTTTTCCAATGCAAATTTACTATAAGTGGTTTTCTTAACATGTGTCCCAAGGTCACAAGTTAACATTACCCATCATTTTATATCAAATACGATTTGAGAATAAATTGTTCCTCAATAATTTATGACATTAAAATCAAATACTCTATGGAATAATAAAAGGGTTGATCATTCCAATGAACAATACTTAGGGAAATACATGTCTCACACAAATTTATGGCAAAATCATTTAAAAGGGCCTAATATAAAGAAACTAATCACTCATGTTACAAGATCAAAAGGCACGACTCCCTTGATGAATGATCTTCAATTTTCAACTCCAAGATCTAAAAATTGCCTCCTTAACAAATGTTAAACAAATTTTACTATTATAAAATATACTTTCGGTAACACTAATTTTATTACGGTTAGACTTTCACCATGATGATATGTCTTATTTAACACGCGATAATTTTCTTTGATATAATATACTCACATATGAAATATACGATCGTGGTATATAATCACTCTTTAATGGATTCGAATCTCAGCACCCTCGTATGATTCATTTCTTTAACATTTAGTCGCGCCTTTGTGTTATGACTTGTTTTAAATATTGTAAATTGTAATATACTGATGTGTCAAATGTTTTATTTCTTTAACATTTAGTAGCACCTTTTTATTTTTATTTATTTTTGATTTTAAAAAGAAATAGATACCATCACGGTTTCTTAGCAGAACCGTTGTGACATATTATTCATTTTGTATTAAATATTTTAAATTGTAATACACTGACGCTTTTTTATAAAATTTAATTTAGTAAGTAACATATCACCACGGTTCTAATGTTTTACCGTGGTGGTATCATTCATTCATTTTTATCATGCTAACTAGCTTGTCTCTTCAGTAATCATTCTTTGCTGAGAAACAATACACCATTTCAACCCTAACGTTCAGTGTTGAGAAACAAAACACCATATCAACCCTAACATTCATCGTTCATCATCATCGTTTATCATCATCGGTTCATCGTTTTGCATTCGTTGTTCATTTTTAACACGTAGTCATTGTCATCGTCATCGATTCGTTTTCAATCCTAAAACACCAACGTCGGCACTAACATCATCGTCATCGTCAAGGAGGAGTACAACAACAACACTATCTGTATCAACCCAAATATTTGCATTTACTTAGTCATCACGTTTACGGTACGTAAAGCGTTTTTCCCATGCACTACGGTAAACTTCAGTTTCCATTGTTGTTGATATTGTTGTTGTCGTTGTTGTTTTTCTGGTTCTTGTTGAATGTGTGTCATAAAACTTGATTAATTTGTTGTTGTTGTTAAATGAGTATGTTATAATAGATGAAATAGTTTATTATTGTTATTGTTGTTGAATGTGTATGTGATAATCTTTGAAAGATTTTGTTGTTGTTGTTGTTGAATGTGTATATGATAATAGATGAAAGAGTTTGTTATTGTTGTTGTTGTTTTTGAAAATATATATCATCCTCGTCGTATTATTCATCTAGTGGCGAGAAAACTATGACAAATGATACTCAAATAAATAAGAAAAGATCACAAAGAGGTGCCACTATGCTTACCACAGTAACAAAAGTCCAAAAATCTAATATCAAATTTCATAACGCGTTTGATTCGTATTATAGAGTAGTTGATGGTGAATACTCTTCTCTTTTTAAGAGTTATGTTGCATTTCTTGGACGTAGCAAAGTTAGTATATTGGCAGATGATTGGAAACAAGCGTCGACTGATGTCAAAGATAACATATGGATAGACGTTAATGTATTAGTTTTAATTTTCATCATTTCGATATGACTTTCTATAATCTATTATACATTCTTATTGATTTAAATGTAGTTGACCTTTGAGTTTATGGATGGTGATAAGTAATTAAGAAAAGTAGTTAACTCATGCTGTTACGTGTTGGAATGGCTTTAAGTCACGACTCATGTGTGACTACATTAGGAATCCTAAGATTGGTCTTGAGCATCCACGGGTAAGGTATAATTTTCTCTCAAAGAAGGTTTTGAAAAAGTTTGCAAAGGGTTGTCGTTCTGAGAAATTCCTGGTTAGTACTAGTCTTATTTATCTTGATAATTTGATGCTAATGATTTATAGATACTAATCATATTTTCACTATGTTTATAACAGATTAAAAGTCAAGCAGAAATACAAAATAAAGCGAAAAATAGTTACCTCCATAGATTGTCTCATGGGGGTTACAGAAAACTGGAAAAACAAATGATGGAGGAAAAAAACAACAAATGAGAGATGATGACTCTATTAGTCGTGATCGCAAATCATCAACACCGTCAAGGCATGAGAAGTGGAAGAGGGTTTGACTAAGACCAAATGAAGACTACACCTCAGATGCGTCAAGAGCAGTTGTTGAGAAAATTGTAAGTATGACTTGTTGTGCATATGTTATGTGTTACTTAAATGTTGTGGTAATTACAATATTATGTTACCATGCATGTTGTGTAGGATGTGTTAGTTGAGGAGGCTTGTGGAGGCTCATTTATTCCAAAACCACGACATGATATACTAGTCGAGGCTATTGGAACAGATGAGCATGGTTGTCGCGTTCGTGGTGTTGGAGAATGCGTCGACCTTAGATTATTCTTTGGTCCAACCAAACAAAGTGTCGAAAATGCCGAATTACAAGAGCAAAGAGAAAAGCTTGCTCTTGTTGAGAAGGATTTAGAAGAGCAGATGAAGATGTTAGAAGCCGAGCAGGAAAATCGTAAGAAAGACATGGAAAAGTTAGAAGAGTTATATACGGTAAGTGTTTTATCCAAAATGCTAGTGTTTTATATAAAATGTATGATATATTATGTTTAATCTGAAGAGTTAGAAAAGATAGAAATG